TTTGGTGGACTATAACATTCAAGGAGATCGTTCTTAGTAAACCACAATCAATAGGGTAACTGTTCTTGGTGGACTATAACCCGAAATAAGACTGTACTTGGTATACTACAAGTATCAGGGTAGCTGTACCTGGTGGACTATATCCCAAAACAATAGTGTACTTTGTATATCACAATTATCTGGGTAAATACTTGGTAAACTGTAACCCACAGGGAGACTGTACTTGGTAATTCACAACTATCAGGATAACTGTAGTTGGTGGACTATAACCTTCAGGGAGACTTTACTTGGTATACCAAAACAATAATAATAACTATACTTGGTATACTATAGCCCTTAGGGAGATTATACTTAGCGAATTATAACCTCCAAAAAACTGTACCTTGTATACTCCAACCAGCAAGTTATCTGTATATGATGTACTCAGAGGGAGACTGTACTTAATATTCCACAAATATCAGGGTAACTGTAGTTGATGGAAGATAACCAAAAACAACAGTGTACTCGGTATACCCCAACTACCATGGTAACTACTTGGTGGACTATAACCCACAGGGTGGCTGTACTTTGCTTATCACAACCATCAAGGTAACTGTCCTTGGTAGACTATAATCCACTGGGAGGCTATATTTGTTTGACTGTAACCCTCAGGGATTCTACTTGGTATAACATAGCCGTCAGGGTAACTTTATTTGATGGACTATAACCCACACGAAGACTGTAGTTTATATACCACTGCTCTCAAGGTAACTGTAACTGGTGGACTATAACAGGAAGACTGTACTTGGTTGATAATGACCCATAGGAAGACTGCACTTGGTATACTACAGTTATTAGGCTGACTGTACTTTGTGGATTTATTTTCAGTGAGACTGTACTTGGCATGCCACAATAATCATGGTAACTGTAATTGGTTGACTATAATCCTCAGGAAGTCTACTTGATATATCCCCAACCATTAGAGCAACTATAATTGATGGATTATAACCCATAGGGAGACTGTACTTGGTATACTACAACCATCAGGGTAATTGTACTTGGTGGAATATAACTCACAACAAGACTTTAATTGGTATACCACTACCAGAAAGAAAATTGTACTTGGTAGATTATGTCCCAAAAGAAGTTCGTGCTTGGTATACCACAAACATCAGGGTAATTGTTTTTGGTGGACTATAGCCCACAATAATACTGTACTAGATAGACTACAATATTCAGAAAACCTATACTTTGTAAATTACAACCATTGGGAATTAGGTAAACTACAAATATTCGGACTGATGCATTTAATAGATACAACAATCAGAAAGATATGCTTGGTAGACTAGAAAAATCAGGAAGTGTACTTGGTAAACTATAGCCATTAGGAATGAAGTACTTAGTAAAGTACAAAAATCAGGAACGATTACTTTTTGGTACTGTTAAACCACATTTTACGCCCTACGGTAGATTAATGCTGTGAGAATTTGGATATATGGTGAGACTTAGACTTTGTTGAAATTAGATGTCGTTATTTTTCTGCAGTTAATTTAAAAAGTTTTATAAATGCTTTGTACTAAAACAGAGCCTGATGCATTACACAGGTTTTGACTGGATGAAACTACTATTCCATGACATAATGAAAATTTCTGATTTTTTTCTGCTTGTTACGACAGCGGAAGTCACGTGACGCTGGTAACACGTGATGAGTTTCTAGAAGGATCATGAAGGCCCGAGTGCATTCCAGGCGCCCTCTTTTTTAGTATATAAGCCTGGCAAATAAAGCGAGATAAGAGGACATAGATAGAGAGACTGAAGATAGAGATAATCGAGTCAAGCCGTAAGTAATGTGTGTGTGAATCACTGTGATTTATAGCGTATGTTCATAAAAGTAGTCAAGTTTATAGTGACTGTGGAAATTCTGTGTATTGCAAAGTTGTATCGAAAAAGAATTGTTATGTCTCTGTTCGTTTGTTAATTTTCCGTAGAAATTCTTTCCGAGAAACGTCAGCGATTTTCTACGGGAAATTAACAAGGAAGCAGATACACAACATGCTTTTACAGGAGCTGTATGATTCAAAGGCTCACAGAAAAAATCAAAGCAAAACAAAAAAACTTCAATCACAATTTGTATCAATGTATCTTAAAATGTTTAGGAGGGCATCTCTTCCAAAAGACCAAATTTGATCTTTTCGTTAAAGGTTGTGAAACAAAGTGTGAAAATCCAGCTTACTCCTAGATTAATTGAAATATGTTTAAATATTCCGGTACCATCATAACTACTACACGTAACTTAGAAATCATAAACACGTCAGCAAACGTCATAGGGAAAAACCAAGGACAGAGTATCACGTGACTTTGCTCTTAAGAATTGGGTAATCAAGTGTTTTAAGGCAATAAGGTTAACAAAATATCTGATGTGTGAAGCTGATAGATACAAAAAAACAAACAAAAAAAACTGGTTCAAACATCGTGGAATTATCTTTCTCAGCTTGGTTATTTTTAAAACATTTTAACACCACAGAGAACATTGTCTGCTGGTCTATAGCTATTTTAACTGTTGTTTTAATAACAATAAGACATTATGGATAAAACGTCAGATATTAGATCTTCGAACATTGCTGTCATGACATTGTGACATAAAACCAATTGATCAAAGTTATATAACCACGGAACACCAAAGGATGATTTATTAGAACAATCCACCACAATCAACAGTAGTATCGTAAACTTGAAATACATAACAGTATTTATCCAAACGAATAAAAACACTATAACCCGAGTGCTTTCGAAAGGTGGACCTTTCTTCTTCAGGGGAAAACTGGCCCGGTTTTCCCCTTGAAAAAGAAAGGTCCACCTCTAGAAAGCGCTCTGGCTATAGGGTTTTTATTCATTTCTATCAAGACTTCTTGAACCTACGTGTTTTTCTAACATTATGACGGTATTTATCCAATAATCTAACAAAAGTTTCACTTGTACAAAAATATTTGATTAATTTGAAAGTAGGCAATATACTATAATAATTTCAAATAAGTATATAATTAATAAATGTCTTTCCATGGACGTATAATGAATAATTACATGATTATTAAATCTTGAGTAAATATAGGATGTTCAGGCTTGTGAACGGTGTATATCTAAAGTAAACCTGCGGTAACTTTGCAGACTTACAACGCTAAAAATCCAAGGTTCGATTTCCCGTGGTAGATAAGAGTACAGAGAAAACAACGATGTAACAGTAAATTACATTGAAATAGAATCTGTGTGGCGTTTCTAGGATTTTTTATTTGGGTTAGCAAAATTAACACTTTCAATTCAGTGGGAGTCACAATGTCAAGAATTCAAAAATCTTAGACTATATCTCATATGGAGGGGTCTACTAAGGGGTAGAGCTTTCGAATGTGGGATCTTGCTCCTACGCCATCCCTGTGGACCGCCTTTGATTCGTACCAATTCAAGAAATTATTTATTTATTACGAAATAAAGTAATTGTCAGCAACAGGTCCGGAAGAATGTTACAGTATAAAAATATGGTATATTTACACCTAGTTTGCACGTTCATATGCAACTTAAGTTGCTATGAAACGCGTGTGACATCAGTATTTCCTATTTGATGCAGTGTTACTTGAAAATTGACAAAACAGTTTACAAAATAAAGTAGTACGTATATATAATACTAGCTTAATTCATAAAAAAAAAAATTCACGCTCCGCAGTTTGCGGTCGTGTGTTTTTTATAAAAGTGACAGTAAGATCACACTATTCGGTCAGACAAAAGTAGCCCAAGAATTAGCCATGGATGCTTTTGACCAACTGCTTTTCCTACCTAATCTCTTATTTAAAATGAGGGGCAAGTGCAGATAGCCTGCGTGTAGCTTTGCGCGAATATTATTGTTTATTATATGCTAACAATATTGTTTGCGCGAAAACAAACAAACTTGTATATGTTAATAGATATAGAGGCAAATACGAAGGTTAATTGGAAAGTAATTATGGTGCCAATTTATACTGCAAGTCACGTGATGCTCAATACAATTTATATTAGGGTCGTGGAAAAGGTTAAACATACGAACCTGGAGTTGAAGTACCCAAGTTCGTACTCCAAACCAAATTGTTCTTTGTTTTTCTTTTCTCACAAACTCAATACATTTGGTAAAGAGTGAGATTATGGAATTAAACGGCAGCTAAGTTTGCAAGTTTTTAATTCCACTCAATGATTAATGAAACATCTGGTTAAAACTACGAGTAGTGAGATTATTTAAATACTTTTCCACTTTTACGAGATAACATCATTCTAAAATAAATACAATAATTTGGAATTACATAAAGAATATATTACAGTTAGAATTTTGTATATTAGTTTTATAAAGTTACCGGTTTAGGGAACTTTTGAATGGTGTCTCATAGTACGTCTGAATTTCTGGAAATAACTTTTCGTAAAACAGGAACCAAAATTTTCAATTCAATATATTAAAAAAGAAAAAGATATCACACACTAACGAAGATGTGGCAATAAGAAATTTTGTGTTTAGTTAGGAAAATGTAACACAGACATAAAAAATAGGAAAAATAGATGCAAACTGGTAAAGCTGTCGCAAAAAAAAGAAAAAAAGAATTATATTGAAATATAGTTTTCACTTAACAAATATGTGTGCAGCTATTAGGCAATGAAATGGCTTATAAGACTCGCAAATATTACGCAGCGGAAGAGTTATGTATCAAGGAAGTAAACAATACCATAGTGTTGGTATTGAATTTGTCATCTTGAAAAAAACATTTAATGCGTAATTGCGATTTAATTATTGATGAATTATTCAGGGAAATTATGCATTGAAGGTTTTTCAAGATGCATTGATTAGTTTTAAATGCCACATAGAAGTGATTTTCTTTAAATGTATTAAACGCTAAGAGACAAGACTGAATAATTAAATGTATTCATACAGCTTCCTTTAGGCATGACTATGTGAAAATCCTACACGCTCCGGTATTCGCTTTGCTGTTGTTCTTCAGCCAACACTTTTCAGGAAGGTACATGTAAACAAAACCAACGCTACAAAACGAATGTAACCACAAACTAAGTATTGCTACATGTTTAGACCGCGTGGCTGAGAAGACAGCAGTTTAGCACAAACGGAGAACATGTCGTGAACTTTATTTTAGTTGTTATTAAGCTATCTCGTTTTAATGTGTTAAACTTCGTGAAAGGAAGGAAAGTCAAAGATTTAACTGTGTTCGAGGAAACGATACCCAGCTGATTGTAGTATTAATATTTAAGTAATTGTACTGCTCAACAACGGAAATAATTGCGACTCTTATTTATCATTTGTCGTTTGAAATTGAATGAAAAAAAAAAGCCGTTGCTTTGTTGCTGTAATCAGGCCTAACAAATAACATTCTCACAGTTAACAACTCGGAGTGAAAACGTCTTTAACTTCAAAGGTAAGTCTACTTTCTCTCAATGTCTGGAGTTTGTTTCGGGCAATAGTGAATAAGCTGATATTACTGAAAACATTGGAACATACAATTTTTGTACCGAAGTTGTGTTGATTGTATTTTAAAAATAAAGGAATATAAAGGGTGCAACTCTTATAATATTTTTCTTTTAATTTAACACATGTACTTGTCATATCATTTGGTATTTAAAGTTAAACCGGAATGTCTCTCATCTGGACGACCAATTATAAGAACTGTTGTTAGAACACAACGATTAAAACAACAATATAAAACAAAAAACGAATACTAGCTTTATAAACTTTTTCAATATTACCTCTAATACATAACATTAATATTAGTAATAATGAAAAACGATTACTAGCTATAGTATTGTTGCGTTATCGAGATCACGTGACTATTCTCACGCCCTCTACTTTCTAGAACTATCCTGTACTTTGGCGAATGCTCTAGCGTTTGCTGGATATGGGGTGGTCTGGTATATAAAAGAGGGTGACAACGTGACGGGAAGGTAATGTGTGTGTAGGTAATGAGTAATTGAACTGCAGTCAGAGAGAGACGTATTATTGAAGTTAACGTTCGTTCGTTATAGTGTTTGTTTTAGCGCGAATATTGAAATTAAGTGTATCGTAAAGTTTTATTCGGAAAGAATAAACCAGTTTTATTAAGTAAGGACTTGTGTCGCTAAAGTTTCGT